GGATCTGGTGGAGTTGAGAACGTTCAGCGTTAGGTTAAAAGTTGGACTAGGTGATCTTCAAGGTCTTTTCCAACCTTGATGATTCTGTACTCGGAATCAGCGGCAAGAGGGCTGTGGCCACAAGGGCCATTTCACTGGTGGCCTAAGCTGGACTTGAAAGCAGGTCCCCAGAGGTGAACTCTGATGCATTAACAACAGCACTTAGCCCCTGAAACATCACAGGAGGCACGTGCTTGTAATCCTCCTACAGCCTACGTGGCCTTAAGATGTGAACAAAGGAGCACCAAAGCACACACTTGGACAAAGATAAGGGCCCTGTGGAAAGCAGAGGATCCATGCAGGGGTGCAGTCCTGGCCTGACTGCACCCACCTCAAACCCAAAAAAAACCTGTGGTGGGCTGCTGGGGAGCCCCTTCCTTACACTCGTCCTCCTCGCCACACTGGCAGTCCTTGACGCGGTGCAGGGCATGCAGGCTGGAGCAGTAGGGCGCTTCGCTCTGGTTCTCGCAGTTGCAGTAGGACTCTCCGGTCACAGGGATGGCGCTTGGGATGGAGGGCGAAAGGGAGGAGAACTCTGGCTCCGAATCCGAGTCGCTGTGCTGCCGGGGAGAATGGAGGAACGGTCACTACTGAATAGCCCCAGGCTCAGGTGGCAGCGGTCTGCGAGCTCTCCTGTGCCACAGAGCTGCGCAGGGAGGTCCCCAGGCTCCTGCCAGCACTGGTGGCATCACGGCTGCATTGTGCCCCGGCCTGCCCCACCACACAGGAGGCTACACCAGTTGAATGATCCTGCTTTGGGGCCTGGTTGATATATGTCTGATCTGCAGAGAGCTCTCAGCACTGGGCACTCTATGGTGCAAGTATGTTCTCTGTGCCTTCCAGGGGTGAGGAGCTGTTGTAGCAGGCACACAGCGTGACAGCCCAAGTCTTTAACACATGCAGATTTAAGCAAACTCTGTGCTAAAGCTATGGTTTTCAATCGGCAGGTTACAGGCAGCTGGAGACCCCAGTCACAGCAACACAAAAGCAGAGCACACAGCTGAAAACCACTGCTCTAGAGAGCCTGAGAGCTGAGAGAGAAGAGAGGGAGGCAAACAAGACGAGGAGGAAAAGGGACAGGAGGCCAGGCAGGAAAGAAGGCAGAACAAAGGGGAACCAGTTCAGCAATACAGCAGCAGCTCCTCACGCCAGTGCTGCAGACAGACCCACAGGGAACCTACGGAAGGATTAAAAGGCTTTTGTCTGCTTTCATGCATGAACACAAAACCTTGATTTAGTATTCCCCAGAGGCAAGAGACCAAAGTGTCCCTGCACTGGACGCTGCAAGAATCAAAGCCTGTCTCACTCCGTAAGTTATGGGAGGCTTGGTGTCACCTAATGGAGTCTTTTACCATGGACTGTGTTATGCCAGGTTTACACACAGGTCAGGTGTGCTGCTCTTTATTCACCTCCATGGCAGACTTTGTAAGCAGTATTTAAAGAAAAATATCCTTTAAACTCATGTTCTTGTAACTGTGTGAAATGATGCAAGCTTACTTACGTACTGCCCACCTCTCCTTCTCCAGCCTGCATATTAAAAAGTTTGATTTCTGTCTTTCATTGGCCCTTCCAAATTACTGCTTTCTAGAAATCTAGCCATTCTTGTTACTGCAGAAACACAAAGCTACCCCAACTGCATAGAAAAGGCTCATTTTCTGGGAGCACGGTGCCTGGGTTTGGACACTGTGCTTTGGCAACAGCCTTGACAGGCTTTAGCCTAGCTTTGAACCTGCTGGAGCAGTTCCTTGCATCCCCACTGCTGCACAGGGAACTGAACTCACACACTCAAGAACTGGGGAAAAGAGTGAAGGATGGCAGAGGTAAATCTAAGTCACTCCTCGCACTGTTTTACTGACCGCTCTTCCTGCTGTGTTCCCATCTCCCAGCACACCTACATGCCCAGGCCAGGTTCAGAAGCAGTGTGCATGTTACAGAGCAGGAAATGTGAGAGAACTTCAGTTCAAAGATATCTGAGACTGTAACTTCACAGACTGAAGCGGCCCCACTCCCTCCACCACTAGCTGCACAAAGACCAAAAGTTAGCACAGCCATACAGTGAGCCAGATTGGAGAACTGATTTAATTTAAACCCATATTTAGATCACTACTTACAAAAGAATATTTTAAAAATATTGTACGTACTTTATATAAGACACACACACATTATATGCTTAAAAAACCATTTAGCTTAGTATCAGTTAATGGCAGAGATGTGGTGCACGACCAGGGAGCAGACTATGGGCAGCTCAGAACCTGGAGGAGGCTCATTAGACAGCCTGTATGTTTTATTAAGTCTTTTCTGATTTTGGCCAGTTCTGCTTGCTGGAGTACTAGCTGCTCAGTTACACGGACCTTGAGTAAGCACCTGCTGTCAGGGGAGAGGAAAACTTTCCCTCGTGTTGCTTCAGAGCCACCCAAGCACCAGCCTACCTGCCCATCGGAGTCATAGCCCCAGCCACGCATGCCAGTGGCCAAGGCGACTGCCCGGGTATCCACCTCACGCCGCACCCCGCTCAGGATGAAGTGCCAGGCCCTGCTGCTCCGTGTGCGTCGCGCCATACTGTTCTGAGACAGGTAAGCTGTGGGGCGAGGGAGAGGAGGTTACACAAAGCAGCCATGTCCCGAGTCCACCCACCACTCACCCGGCTCTGCCCTCTGAAGCAACCTCCCCCAGGTCACGACAGCACCCCAGGAACAGATCAGCACGAACCATGTCCGCAGAGGCCCCATCAATGAAAACAGACACAAAACAAGTTCCTCCCGCATCAGGAGCCTCTGCAAACTCTTTCTCCACACAGGGTCAACTTCTCCCCGAGCCCAGGTGTTGAACTGGGCACCAGAAACACTCCCAAGAACCGGCAGCAGCAGCGTCCACCTCTCACCACTGGCCTGGGGAACATCAGGATTGTCAGCCATGGAGGCACAACCTCCCCAGGTCACCCTCTGGCAGCTGCCTGGGCTCCGGCCGTGCTGCTCAGCCACCTGCACCACCCTGGCCACCACCACAGCCCGAGCTGTGTGTGTCTGTCTGCAGGGAAGGCTGTTAGCTCACCTCCAAGCAACTGCCCACTGAGAGAAGACTTTGCTCTCAGGGTTTCGGGTGGGGGAGACACCACTTTCTTGCTCGCTGAAGGGAAATCAGCCTTTTCACAGACCTGTCCCGACTTGCCTCAAGGGCAACAGACAGAAGCAAACTAGCTGCCTGTCTCCTGACTCAAGCAGTGAGGTTATTCAGAGACAGATTTACATGGGCTCCTTCCCTTCGTACAGCCTGACAGACCACACCAGCTCCCAGCCACCGCATGGGAACGTTGCACTGTATGCGACAGGGGAACTTCAATGCTCAATTTCATTTCCCCTGCAGTTTATCTTTGCAGAAAACAACTCCCCACCAAGAGGCACGCGCAGGGCTGTAACCCCCCACCCACCACTTCAACCCACTTCCCTCTGCTCAGCCTCTGTGGCTGCTTCCTTGCCACATACAGCCCGTTAACACACCCACACCTGCTCCAGTGCTTCCCTGACATGCAGCAGGTCAGCCCCGAGCACATGCCAATCCCACAAACATGGAGGGGGTCAGCCCCATCCCGGTACTTGCCATCCCCAATGGGCCAGCAGCTCCTTGGCAAAGCAGGGCAGGCTGAGCCACAGCAGGTTGTGCAGGTGCCTACTGATGCTCTGAAGAGCACTGGGCATCCCACCCACCCAGACTGGGGGGCTTTCACCTCTGCCAAGTACAGCCAGGCTGGGAAAGCACCCAAACTCATACCAGATCCCCCTTCCCCGGCTCTGAAGAGCACCCACAGCTGCCAAATACAACAGCTCTGCTCCCCCAGCACCACGCCAAAGACAGGGGTCAGGGGTAGAGTTGCCATAGCACAGTGTTTGCCCCAGTACGTGATCCGGCACAGAGGGCAGAGCCAAGCCCTTGCCCCAGAGTGGGACCTGGGGTTGTTGTGGCCTTTTCGTGGATCTGAGACGAACAGCTGGAGGCCGTGACCCGCCCAGCGCCCACCTTCCCGGCTGCAGCTCCCCTCCAGCCCGGTCCCACCTGCTCCTCTGCACTTCAGCCCGAGGGCTGACCCCGACAGACAGCCCGGGAAGAGGCCGTAGGGCTGCCCTCCGCCGTGCCAGCGCTCTGGGCCATGGACGGTGCCCTCCAGCCCGGCCAGCCCCACACACCGGGGCAGCGCTTCCCCAGGCAGCGAGAGCACAGACCGAGGCGGTGGGGGAGGAACCCAAGAGGCTCCTCAGCGCACAGCCACGGCCTGGCTCCCTCTCCCTGACGGCCCCCGACCTGGCCTCAGGGGCAGGCGGCTCCGCCGGAGGACGGGCACCGGAGCCCCACCTGTCCCACGCAGCTG